GAGATGGGAACAGTTTTTTAATGTGAAGACAACAACAACAACAACAACTTCGTATACTTTTTCGCGCTGCTTGCGACGCAGCCGCCGACCGAAACAACAAGAGGGAGAGGAGCATGATTCTTTCGATTTTTTCACAAGGTCGAGCCGCCGATCGAAACAACAAGAGAGAGGAAGGCATGATTTTTGTTGTTGCCAGAATGATGTCGACAGCAAACAAAAAACGTCTACGAAAGGAACGGCTGAATCCTTCTCGCGATAAAAACTAAGGCAGGCACCGCAGCAGAAAGGCCGCACCGATCGAAACAACAAGAGGGAGAGGGGAGAATATGACTCTTGTTTTTGTTAGAATGATGCCGAGAGCAAAATAAGCCAGAAACCGCGGAATCCTTACCGCGATGAAAATAAAGGCGAGCAAAGGCCGCGGCCGCCGATCGAAACAAGAAGAGAGAGGCATGATCATATTAGAAAACGTACCTTCAATCACATGAGAGAGACCAGTCTACCCGTTCGATCTACACACCACTTAAATTTAGCAGTCGACAGGGGGGTGCAACACAGCCTTTGCGGCGAGTGGAATTCTTTTTTTGTTACGAGAATGTCGAACAAATAAATCCAACCATGAAGAGGAACGGCTGGAAGTCCCATCCTTCTCGCACAAAACATCAAGGCAAGCACGACAGAAGGGACGCCGCGGCCGCCGATCGAAACAACAACAGAGGGGGGGATGTTTTTTGAGAATGTTTATTGAGAAAAAACATACATCCAGGAAGACTATGCATACAATAGTCTACCCGTTCGACTGTGGTTATATCTCGAACGGGTAGTCTTTCTGTGTTTGCATTCATTTTCCAAATGAATAGTCTACCGTTCGAGGTTGTATGTATTTCCACAGCAATCGAAGGGGGAATGTCGAAGCCTGCTGCAGTAGGTGGGTGTTGTCCAAATTTCGAGCAAACAATCCTACAACGAAGAGGAACGGCTGGAAATCCTTCTCGCGATAAAAATCAAAGCAAGCAATCTCGCATTAAAAATCGAAAGCAAAGTACTATCGATACCGCATTAGGGGTAGGGGGCCTCGTGGAGAGGGAACGCTTCTAGGTGACCACGGGGTTGGAGTAAACGACACAAGTGCCCCGAGCGCTGATTTGAAGTGATGACAAAGAAAGAAGAAAAAAACAAAGGTCGAGCAAACGAACTCGGCCGTGTGGTATTCCTCTCCAACCCAACTTCCTCGATTGCATTCATTATCCAAACTAGGACGCTATGGATCATTGCTAGTCTATCTTAGACTCCTTTCGTCGATAGAGATGGATTCGTTGGGTCATACTGATGAAATAAAAAATAACACAGAAAGACTACCCGTTCGAGATGTAATAACCACAGCAGTCGAACAACATGTCAACAACGAAAAACCCTGCCAAGGGTACCTACTTGTGTGACCCGGGCTGGTGCGTCCAGAATCGTATGCATGCGTTGTACAATACGTACCGCCGAAAGGACCCCGAAAGGATGCCGAAAGGACGCCGAAAGTTGCATACAGGCAGATGTGTTTATTCTCAACGGGTTGATGAAACCACAGCAGTCGAACAACATGTCAAAAACGAAAAACCCTGCCAAGGCTACCTACTTGTGTGACCCGGGCTGGTGCGTCCAGAATCGTATGCATGCGTTGTACGTACCGCCGAAAGGACCCCGAAAGGACGCCGAAAGGACGCCGAAAGGACGCCGAAAGGACGCCGAAAGTTGCATACAGACTGATGTGATTATATCTCAACGAGTTAAAAGTCTTCCCGTGTGTTTCATGTAATTTTTTGAAGACGCCCAGACGACCGGGATGCAAAAAAAAAAGGTAGCTGCTGTGCGCGGTGGAGGTGGGTTAGGTGGAGGGTTGGAATTGGCGGGTGCTTTTCCTCCCCGATTCTTCCAGTGCGTTTCACTTGAAAGGGGGCAGTAGACTACGGCAGTACGGGGGTGCCTGTCTAAGTAGTGCCCGAATGTGCCCGCCCGATTCACTGGCTCTATGCCTGGGGCACCCGGCACTAATAAACTCCTTTCAGTATTTATTTTTTCCGAGAATGAGACAAGTCCAAACATACTCTTGTCCCACTATTTCAGCGGCACGAAACCGGCCTATTTGAGGTACACTGCTGTACCCCCGCTACAGCTACCCCCTGTTGCTATGCAATGGAACCCAACGGTTGTTGTGGCCGACCTGTACGATTGCTGCTGCTGTGTGTGGTACCTGATACTGTACATGATACATACCGTATATGACACAAGATAACACACCCCCTCGGCCGATTTTCAAAGCTCGATTTCTCAACAGCAGGAAGAGTCACAGCGCCGAAAACGGCGGCGTTGGAACCGTCTCGTCGAGAGCTGTTCGAAAACGTATTGTTTCATTTATGCATCCTCTTCGTCGTGGAGTAATCGAGCTTTGAAAAATCGGTCCAGGGGGTGTGTTATCTTGTGTCATATACGGTGCATACTCCATGATACCAGACGCACCGGGCCACGCGCGCACATGCAGGACCTCCAACTCCTGTCCAATGACAACCTACATCGATTCCAAACGCCATCACCACCTCCTTGTGGTTGCGGACTACTGTAGACGGCCGAGAGAGTGACAACACAAAACATGCCCTCGTTCCCGAGACTGAAAGCGTGGGTCGGGTGCAATGCGGCCGATGTATTTTAGATTTAGTTGGACCACCTTCAGTGATCCGACGACACATAAGATTGTAACCCCCGCGCCCGTTGTTGCTCGCAAACTTTGACGTCTGGGCGGGGACGCACTCGCACGGTGAATGAACCCGGGGTGCGGCAGCTGCGATGTGCATGCAACATACGCTTCTTTTGCGCGGAGCTGATGCACATGAATGTGCGAGGACGGGTGGGAGATGATGCGGTTCATTTCGGCGGACGCCTGTTTCCAGTGAAGTAAGGTCAAAATGCAACTGCAATTGACACGGTAACGCTTTATTTGCCTGCCTCTTCTTCTTTCTCGGGCACACTCAGCCACCACCCGTAGCTGTGGCTCTCCCAGTGGATCTAGGCTCACTCGCTCGTCGGCTGGGAACCGGGAACACCACACACCACAGCAGTCGCTGCCATTCCGACTTCGTTCCTACCTTCGAAACACATGCAGCCTGAGACAGCGTCTTCCCTCCAGCGTACAGCAGCGCCAGCGACATCACTTCGGGGGGGAACGGCAGCAGCGAGAGCTCCATCTCCGCTACGTCGCGGCGTCGATCTGCTCGGCACCCTTCGCCGCGTCGAAGCAGGCTGCGGGCCGCACCAGCGACCCTGTCCCCGCGGCGATCACGGCTGCTGCTGCTCGCTTGATGTTGCTGCTCAGCAGCAGCTGCTCCTCTGCCGCTGTCCATATTTGGATGCGATGATGCTAGCCTCTCAAAACTATTTTGTCACACCTGATGTGCCGACACACAAGCCAGGCGAATTGCGGCGATGGGTAGAGAGGGTGGCCGCAGATATCTTTGCAGGGGACAGCGAGTACTGTTCTGGTCTCCCTCCCTCCCTCTTCCTCCGCCTCTTCTCTTGAGGGCAACAGGGACACCTGATCATGCATCTGTGCGAGAGAGAGGCAAATTTAAATCTGGCGACCGAGGGGCTCCGCAGAATGAAATCGAAAACAAAAGTTCGTTGAGGAGAGTCAGTTCAGCTACTAGCCGCCACATGTGTACGGAGATAAGGCTTGATGAGGGGGAGATTTTCGATTTTCGATGAACACGTGCATGCAGCGTAGTCTACACGTGCAGCAACCATGTGGACTCCCAAAAGTCTTGAGGGCGTGCCCTAAATCTTTTCGTATGCGTCCGTTTCAACGTGAAGCCTCATTGACTAGATACAAGGCAGAGGATGCTGTGGGCGACTCTGGATCCAACGACCAACAACCCCATCACCTATCTGTGGGTTACGGATCATATCATACCCCCTGGACAGATTTTCAAAGTTCGATTTCTCCACATACATACAGCAGAAAGAGTGGCAGCGCCGAAAACGTCAGCGTTGAAACCATCTCGTCGAATTTCATTGATGTATCCTCTTCTTCTCGTTCGTCGTGGAATATTTATATTTTGAGCTTCGAAGAAGAAAAGAGAAAATACTACTGAAACCGTAGACATGTACAGGTACTTTCTGACGCTATGAATTCATTGCTAATCTGTATCAGACTCTTTTCTATGATAGAGATGGATTCGTTGTGTCATAATAAGAAAAATAAAAAAATACTGCTGTAGATCCCACAGGAAGGGTTGTATCTTGCGTCACCTACGGTAGCTAAGGGGAGGTGACACAGGGCGTTGGTTGACTCTGATGGATCGCCGAGGATGTGATCAGTATGTCTACAGTGGTCCCAGCTACTCTCTCTCTCTCTCGTTCTTGTTTTTGCCATGCGGACTTTTTTTTTTCGCCCGCGTGCTTATTTCTTCTCTCCGTTCCCGTCTACCACACGATGCAGAACCGTCTCCGTTCTCCTGAGAGCAGCAGGCTGGTCGTTTTTTTTTTTTTTTTCGCATGATACGTATGTATGTGTATGATGATGTGCAGACTGTTGTTTGTTCTGTGCCCGGACGCGGTAATTGGGTATTATGGTTTGATGATTTTTTTTTTTTAGTTTCAGTGTTAGGGGAACGCAATCATTTTCATGTTCCAATATTTATTTGTTGACATCATGTAAACCAGAGCAGGGTGTGTGCTCGCAACTCAGTCTATCATGCATTAGAAGGCTGCAAAGGTTCTGTGTGACCTCCTCCTCTGTGTGGCTCACTCACTGGTTGGTACGTTAAACACATACAACACCGAAGGACGGGTAGATTGACTGGTGCTAAAATAGATGGAACAAACAACACCCACAAGATCAGATGAAACACTGCTTGCGGAACACGTGGTGGGTGCCAATGGAGTTTGCTCATGATTAGACGTGGCGGGCGAATCCAATTGCAAGGACGAAGGTGGTAAACCAAGCCTTCTTGACACATCCCGGAAGGAACAACGTCATTTCTTCACCACAATCCCATTCCCTCCTCGGCATGATACTATCGGTATTGATTGCCAACACAGCCGACGTACGTACGTACGCACAATCGCTTCCGTTGGTGTGCCATGCACGCTATTTAGGAGATTGGCGGGCGCTCTCGTCATCGTGACGGCACTGGTTCTTCTTCCGCGTCAAAAACGAGTTAAAAATATCCCAGCTTCTCATGCCACGCCGCCATCACGCACGGGAAAAAAAACATAAAAAAAAAGTACTTCGTATTTTTAAAAAACAATTAGCAAATCTGAAGAGGTGTTGACACACAACTCCTCGTAAAAAAACACTTAGCCGGGGTCGACCAAAGCAGCCAGCTCGTCAGTCGAGCAGGGTCTCATCAACAACGAAGCCCCTGCTGGGTGCAATCAGTCGTCACAGAGAATAATTGGCACGCTTACGCGGAAAAGCAAAGCTGCAACCCACGGCAGGATGGGCAACTTCCAAAATACCCATCTTAGCCGATCGATGCGAAAGGTTGGACCGGTCAAGAAGAGGACCGAAAAAACCCGTCTCGCATCCACCACATTTTCGTCCCCATTTAACATTTCTCGCCTTTCCAGTTCCCTAGTTGTCCCGCGGCGGGAGCCTTCATCCACAGAACAAAAACGCCTCTCCTCATTATCTCTCCTCGGCGCAGGTGCCGCCTTATTACGCCCTCAGGCGGCCGTCCTTCCCCGTGGTTTATTCCGGCTAAGAAGGCTAAATGAAACCCGAGGGTTTTTTTCCGGCTCAGAAGGCCCTCGCGAAGATGGCCATGTGGGTCGCCTTCTTGCCGGAATAGAAGCACTCCTTGCCTTCCCACATGCCTTCCTCGTTAAGCTTCAACGGGTAGCACCTGGCCGAGAGCGTATTTCCGTCCATATATAAACCGAGCGGCGGCGGCGGCGGGGAGGGGGTTGGTCGTTTGGCGCTAAATACATAGGTGCGATCGCAAGGCTGCTGCTGCTGCTGCTGCTGCTGCTGTGTCGACAACAAAAAACCAACCGATACAGATTTGCTTGTAGACAGAGAAACGCAAGATTGATCTGGCACTCTGTTGTTGACCGACCTCACGTACGACACGTGTTAAGAAAGAAAAGTTGGACACAGACAAGCAAGAACACCACGCGACGTTGAAGTGCAAGTAATCCGCACACACACCCTTGACCGGTTTGTCGCAGCTCAATTGCCCACAACGAGCAACGGTTTGCCATTCATTGCCGAAAAGGGCGGTCTGTTCGAGGGCAACAACCCACTCGGCCCGTCATCATCCTTTGAAACACTTCCGCCCTCTCGTGTTGGAGCACGAGAGGGCGGAGATAAAATACAAATTATGTCGCCAACTTAGAAATGAGGACGAGGGTGGGGGGAGGGTGTACTCATGTTAACGCATGCCGTAGTCGTTAGACCCTTGGCCTCGCATTCCTACAACGAGCGATATGCCGGGGGGGGCTCCGTGTATCTCTCGCTCGCCTAAGGGTAGCCTTGGAGTCTTGCTGGATGAAGTCCTCGTTTTCCGTATTGCAAGCCCACGCGGCCAGGTACATGCCCGTTTCTTGCGGGGTCCCCGCTTTCGATGTGGGCCTTCATCTCCGCGTACGACGACACCGGAATCGTCCTGCCGGGCGTCACAAACATTGGCACACATAGTCGGGGGCGCCGGGGGCGCAATCACAACAAGCGGTTGCTGCTGAACACGTGTCGCCAGCACCCAACCACGCAGACAGCTACAAAAACAGTCGCAAAGAGCCCGACAAAAATATGCCCCGACACGGAGAGGCTCATCGAAACGTCACCAGAGAGCGGGGAGCGCTGCCCCCCAAAGCAGGCGGGGGGGGGGGGGGGAGAGGGGGGGCCATCGTTAATTGCACCACCGATGGTAGCAATGGTTGTAGAGGGCACGCAGGTGTTGCGCCAAGCGCCAAGCGAGAGACAGTTTCCGTGACTTGGCAGTATTCTTCGTATCAGTGTCAGGTACGTTAAAGAACGATGTATTGGGTATTTACCTGAGAGGGGAGGCTAGTCTATGAGTGTTGAAACCTGGCAAACGGTGTTTTCGTATTCAGAGATGCCTCGTTCGCACGAAGCGTGTGCCCGTTAGCACCTAACACAACTGAGCTACCAACAACAATAATTTTTTCTTTTCACCAACACGGCAGAATGACAAGGATTTGGTACACACAGCGGCATGTGTTCCCCACGCACGCGCGAGGTCCATATGGTCTACCGCATGCGTCTACATGAGTGCACCCGTCCACACCCGTGGCCCCTCTCCCATTCCTGAAAGACAGGCCATACCCCTGGATGTGTACGGCGCGAACACGTGTACCCCCCGAGAGGACTTCCTTTCCACTCACCCCTTAGCGAGATTGTCCTGTGCCTCCTCCCACAAGGTATCGTTCACCACATCAAGCTGTCGCTCGATGCAAGACACGAAATTCTCGTCGGTCGGAATGGAAACTTTGTCGCCTGCAGTCACGGGTCACGATTGAGTGTGTGTGGGGGGGGGGGCTCCGGTGTTGCTTTTCTTTGCCATACACAAAACCGTCAAAATTGCGCGTCCCTTTCAAGATGGTCGGTCTACCGCGCCAACACTGATTACCAGTGTAGACCCAACCCACATCATCCTTTTTTACATTTGCCCACGTCGAACTGCACGCGCGCGCATGGTGGGGGGGAAGGTGCTCATGGTCTTTCGTTCCGAAGTCACGACAGACCTCGTATCTGTGAACGCCCCCCTGCTGGGTATGCCAACATAGCACCAAAGCTACGCCGAACATAATATTTTGAGCTGCAGACACATCACGACATGAAGCTGCTCCCGGCCGACGAAAACGAGGCCGAGGAACTTCCTCCCATCATCAAACAAACACGCTCTCTTCCTCCAACAACAAAACCTACAGCTGTATATTCTGTGCTTGAACCTTGACAAACACACGACACCCCAGCAGCGACCCCCCCCCCCCAACTTTTATAATTTCTTCTTTTCATTTGTTTAG